TAATTAAATAACTATTATATACTAATATAATAATATATATATATATACACACATATATATATATATATATATATATATATATATATATATAATACGTATTTATTTATGTACAAGGATACACATACGCACACACACACACACACACATATATATATATATATAGTGTTGCAATATCTCTGAAGCAGAGAAGAAATATTAACTTCCATAGGATCATAATCAATATATAAGCCCATATACTTATATATCACCTTAGATAAATAGTTTACCCTTGATCTCACACAGTACGCAAAACCCCCTAGTTAGTCTTACACACATCACATCACAGCATACCATTCTAGATCAGCCACAGCCAAGTCCAAGCCATCACTCAGGAAGAAGTTGAACGACTGCACATGCGGTGCCACTAACTGTTCTAACTCCGGGCTAATTTTATCTGGGATCTTATCCCGTGTAAGTGTATTGAATGGGAGCAGGCAATCTTTGGTACCCTTAGCCGGGTAGGTCTCGGTTAGAACCATGGTTGGTGGTTTGAAGGATAGTTCAGGTCAACTCGAGCGAGGTGTGTAAATGTAACCTGCTGGTGGATGCAATCAAATCCGGTATGGAGGTCCAGTGAGCCTCCAAAGGGATTTGTTTGTGAGCAGTTGGATCAGTAAGTAAGGACTGGCGTATCTCTACGTGCAATTTGTATGTGGGTCTGTGTGTGTACTTATATTTCTAGTTGTATTATAGATGTGGTGTACAGATACGCACATAATTAGATGGTTATTGTTAAATTGTTGTTGGGTTACAGCCCATATTATCGCACGTGCATACCAAGCTATTTAGTCACGATATTATCAAATATTATTTGGAAATAAATAAAGGCCCGTTTTGTGACCTCCATCGAATAAGGAATGGCCACAAAAAACTATCCTTGAATTTTGGCGGTCGATTCTTCTTGGAATTTCAAGTCCACACTTTTTTTTGTAAAAACTAAAAGTGATGGCAGCCGCCGAACTTCAGAAGACCTGACCCTGAACTCCGAACTCTGAAGCCAAGGCTCATACTCTCATAGGCTGAAGCGGTGAAGGCTGAAGCGGTGAAGGCTGAAGGGAGTGAATCTATTGTTGTCTGATGTATTTGAATATTTTGGACCCAACAATATATGCAGTTAATCATACTGACGTGGTAGTGATGCAATGCATAGTAGTGTACAGTATGCACCTCTGAAAGATTACTATATGTTGATATAGCAGTATCTATATAACCTACAAAGGTGTGCCACCAACTAGCAGTAGCGATAGACGTAATGTGCCGTTCCGGACCTTATCCCATCATACGACCCATTATATAAATAGTGTCGGCCACTCAATACCTGAGAATAAAGCATGTGCATGTCAAACAATACAGTCCTTTGGTAACGCCACCTCACGCTACTGCACCACAATGGTTGGGTTCTCACCGGCAGTAGGTACGGGTGTTTACGCCCTGACATTCATCGCGAGTCTACTGACCCTTTGGATGCTGTATCGGAATCTGCCCGTTCTGCTGTAAGTGGGACTGTGTTGATACATGTTTTGGTACGTACAACTGATAAGGGAATTAAAACTAAATGTCATCGTATTCCGTCTAAGTAATGCGTATGCTTGCGCGTCATCCTACAATCACACTTCAAGTACGATGCTATAGCCGGATAATCAACGCATATACACTTACCGCGTACGGTGTTAAAAATAACATGGAGTTTAGTATAGTGATAGACCTGCGGCGAAGATATCGGAGTTCAGCCTATTCTTTTTTATATTAAAACGAACATGGTGCAAGTCTTTTGTCGAGCGCAACCGGCACGCAAACAAGTCTATTCAGCTGTGCTAACATATCCATATTTAAGGTTTGATTCCTGACCTTGTCATGTCAAAGGTGCACGGGTTCACGTTGATATATATCAGATACAATTTTACATTGCTGCGTCTGTTGAATCGCGTACTAAGCTACCTTCCCACTCAAAGTTCTGAATATACAAACCAATATATATATATATATATATATATAAATATATATAATTTACACACATAGACACACAAGCACACACATATATATATACATACATACACACACACATACATACATATATATACATACTATTATATATATATATATATAT